TTTTTTTTTTTTTTTTTGTCAATAAACCCAGTAATGTTCTAAACAATGAAAAGAAAGCTTAAATTTTGACTAGCATTCTCATATGTCAACAAAATTATCTTCAAGAGGGTAGTAGGAAGAACTTTTTGAACGGATTGTTAAGTCCAGGCAAGTATGAACTTATGGGATCAGCCAAAGCAAAAATTTGTTTGCATGACTAAATGTTAAGGAATATATTTGGGAGATAAGTGGAAACAAATTAACATGCAACAACAATTTCAACCAATCATTTTACTTTTTGTTAACAGAAGATTTCATTTAGGAACCAAAAAGGGAAGGAGAGAAAATGGTTTAATAAGTTTTAAGAGTGAAGGTTGCAGCTGAATCGGGAGAACAACAACACACCCACAAAAAAACTCCAGCTTGAAGTGAACTATAATGCCCCAAAACAGATAGATGAAAGAGGGAAACATCATACCTCCATCCATTGGTGGAGGAGGGAAATCTATCAAGACTTTTTCCATATGTTTTGAGCTCTCCTGGCTTACAATACGAGCAACAATGCCCTCTAAGATTTCACCCTGCTCCTTTACATGATCTTTTGAACCTGAAAACAGAATTACAATTGAGTTCCAAACATCACAAATAACTCTTGAAACCAGTGTCCAGCTGAGGGTAACACAAAACAAACAACAACAACAACAACAACAAAGCCTTTTCCCACTAAGTGGGGTCGGCTATATGAATCCTAGAACGCCATTGCGCTCGGTTTTGTGTCATGTCCTCCGTTCGATCCAAGTACTCTAAGTCTTTTCTTAGAGTCTCTTCTAAAGTTTTCCTAGGTCTTCCTCTACCCCTTCGGCCCTGAACCTCTGTCCCGTAGTCACATCTTCGAACCGGAGCGTCAGTAGGCCTTCTTTGCCCATGTCCAAATCACCGGAACCGATTTTCTCTCATCTTTCCTTCAATTTCGGCTACTCCTACTTTACCTCGGATATCCTCATGCCCAATCTTATCCTTTCTCGTGTGCCCACACATCCCACGAAGCATCCTCATCTCCGCTACACACCCATTTTGTGTACGTGTTGATGCTTCACCGTCCAACATTCTGTGCCATACAACATCGTTGGCCTTATTGTCGTCCTATAAAATTTTCCCTTGAGCTTCAGTGGCCTACGACGGTCACATAACACGCCGGATGCACTCTTACACTTCATCCGTCCAGGTCGTATTCTATGGTTGAGATCTCCATCTAATTCTCCGTTCTCTTGCAAGATAGATCCTAGGCAGCAAAAACGGTCGCTTTTTGTGATCTTCGCTAGATTGCTCCGGTCATTAGTGTGGATAAGTATATAAATGAATAGAGATAGGAAAGCAAAACACAAGATGTACGTGGTTCACCCAGATTGGCTACGTCCACGGAATAGAAGAGTTCTCATTAATTGTGAAGGGTTTACACAAGTACATAGGTTCAAGCTCTCCTTTAGTAAGTACAAGTGAATGATTTAGTACAAATGACATTAGGAAATATTTGTGAGAGAATGATCTCGTAATCACGAAACTTCTAAGTATCGGAGTGTGGTATCGTCTTGACTTGCCTTATCTGTGTCATAGGTAGATGTGGCATCTTCTCTGGAAGTACTCTTCCTCCATCCAGGGGTGGTATCTTTAACTGGTGGAGATGCACAAGGTAATGTATCAATTTCACTTGAAGCTTACTTGTAGTTTCAGGCTTGGTCAAGCGCGATACAAACCATGTAGTAGGAGTCTCCCAAGTCGCCGAGCTAGGGGATCTGCTGAAAGAGGTGACAGACAAGGTAAGCAATCAGAGCTCCGGCTGATTGTTCACCTTCTCCCCATCTTGCAGGCAGCATGAAGGATAAAGAGAAGAAAGATGAGAAGAGATGATATGGGATACTTTTGCTTTTGAAGAAGTAACTTTCCACAGGCTTATTCTTGAACTGAGCTGGAGGGTTTTCTGGTTTCCTCCAGAGCCGACTGAAGAATTTGAGGGTCAAAACAAGTCCATCAAATCTAGAGTACGTTCGACCCTGCTGATATGGGATACTTTTGCTTTTGACAGAGTAATGGATGTATCGGCACGTGTGCTGTTACGCTTGTCTCCACATGCTTCCTTGTATCCTTCGCACTTGCCCTATCTGTTCCTCAAGCAGATGCGGTATCTTCCCTGGAAACATAAGATGTTGAAGATGAGTACTCGAGAGCAATGCCAGGTAAGTAATCAGGTAAGGGGTTCCAGGCAGTCAGTTCCTGGCTGGAAGCTTGATTCCAAGTGCTGACTGATTGCTCTCTTTCTCCTTGTCTTGCAGGTAACAACAAGGCCAAAGGAAAAGACAGGGAAAAAGCATGATATGGGATACTCTTGCTTTTAACCCTGATGATATGAGATATTCTTGCTCTAGTATAGCTTGTTTGCAAAGGTATTATCGGGGGGAAAGAAAGCTGAATATTTCGAAAGGCTTCGTTGGGAGTGCCCTCTCAAATATGAGGAAGGGTTGAACATTTTTTGCAGGTCTGCCTGTCCGTTGGGGATGGAGGTCGACATATATAGGAGTCTCCCTAACAACAAGTAGTAATGCTATTCCTTTACCCTGCTTGGTCATAGCACGGTAGTGGGAGCTGCCAGCTTCACATGTTTTAACTCTGTCAGAGCACTTTGAAAAAGTGGTATGTGCTCTCGAGAAGTCTTCGACAGAATGCCCATAATTTCCGCAAAGCTGAGTGTGCGTGTGACAGGTGCTGACAAGGCTAGAAAAGTAGGTGCCTCTTCGATTTCTGAGATCGGCCCTCGTGGTCTCTGAGCAGCCCAGCTTTTGAGAAAGCGAGCGTCTCTTCGATTGATTCGGAGAACGATGCATCTTCGATTTTTAAGAAAGCAATCATGATGGGGGTCTGGCTCTCGAGATTCGGGGAGCAGTGTCACTTCGATTTTTGAGAAAGTAATCATGTTGGGAGTCTGGCTCTCGAGATTCGGAGGGCGGTGCCTCTTCGATTTTGGAGCAAGCAATCTTGTTGGGAGTGTTTTCTCGAATGTGAGTAAAGGTTGGGCATGTTTGCTAGTCTACCTTGCCACGAAGCACAGAGGTTGACACACAGGGATTTTCCAATTATCCAGCAATGGTACTGTTCCTTTACCCTCTCTTCGATTTTTGAGAAAGTAGTCATGTTAGGAGTCTGGCTCTCGAGATTCGGAGGACGGTGCCTCTTCGATTTTGGAGCAAGCAATCTTATTGGTAGTGTTTTCTCGAGTGTGAGTAAAGGTTGGGCATGTTTACTAGTCTACCTTGCCACGAAGCACAGAGGTTGACACACAGGGACTTTCCAATTATCCAGCAGTGGTACTGTTCCTTTACCCTTGTGGGTAATAATATGGTAGCTAGACCTTCAAAATTTATGGGTCTAAACTTTGTTAGTGCTGTTTCTTTGCTATTCTTTTACCTTTCTTGGTCAGAGCGATGTAGTGGGAGCTGCAAGCTTTACGTGCTCAACTTTGGCAGAGAACTTTGGCAAAGTTATCTGTGGTACCCATGAGCTAGTGTTGCGTGTGGGAAGTGGGTGATTGAACAGTAAGATTCATGTGTTTTCTACTTCCTCAGAAGTCTTCGACAGAATGCCCATAATTTCCGCAAAGCTGAGTGTGCGTGTGACAGGTGCTGACAAGGCTGGAAAAGTAGGTGCCTCTTCGATTTCTGAGATCGGCCCTCGTGGTCTCTGAGGAGCCCAGCTTTTGAGAAAGCGAGCGCCTCTTCGATTTCTGAGATCGGCCTTCGTGGTCTTTGAGCAGCCCTAACTTTTGAGAAAGCAAACGCCTCTTCGATTTCTGAGATCAACCCTCGTGGTCTCTAAGCAGCCCAGCTTTTGAGAAAGCAAACGCCTCTTCGATTTCTGAGCAGGCGCCTCTTCGATTTCTGAAGATCCGTCGAGTGCAGATTTTTATAGGGGCTGGCATTAAGTTCCAAAGCACACTTGAAATCTCCACCAGTAGAAGCTCCATTCTTGCACTTCTAAGATCTTGATTTGTCCAACCTCTTCTCTCTTCAACACCTTTGAAAATGTCTGGCCCCTCCGACCGTCGTTTTGACTTGAACCTTGTTGAAGAGGCAGCCCCGCCTTCTCCAGACAACATATGGCGCCCATCCTTCGTCTCCCCTACTGGTCCTCTTACCGTTGGGGATTCCGTGATGAAGAATGATATGACTGCTGCGGTGGTGGCCAGGAACCTTCTCACTCCCAAAGATAACAGACTACTTTCCAAACGGTCTGATGAGTTAGCTGTTAAGGATTCGCTGGCTCTCAGTGTTCAGTGTGCAGGTTCTGTGTCTAATATGGCCCAACGCCTATTTGCTCGAACCCGCCAAGTTGAATCATTGGCGGCTGAAGGTGATGAGTCTCAAACAGGAGATTAGAGGGCTCAAGCATGAGAATAAACAGTTGCACCGGCTCGCACATGACTATGCTACAAACATGAAGAGGAAGCTTGACCAGATGAAGGAAACTGATGGTCAGGTTTTACTTGATCATCAGAGATTTGTGGGTTTGTTCCAAAGGCATTTATTGCCTTAGTCGTCTTCTGGGGCTGTACCGCGTAATGAAGCTCCAAATAATCAACCTCTGATGCCTCCTCCTTCTAGGGTTCTGTCCAGTACTGAGGTTCCGAATGATCCCCCTCCGGTGCCTTCTCTTTCTGGGGCTCTACCGACTGCTGAGACTTCTCCTAAGCAACCCTTGTGAAGGCTCCCTCTTGTTTGTTTATTTTGACTCATGTATATGTACACATTTGTAGCTTATCGGGGATATCAATAAATAAGTTTTCCTTCATTTCAACGTATTGTGTTAAATACACCAAAATCTTCTTCGCTAAGTTCTTTGAATTTTCTTTTGTTGAAGCTTGTATGTTGAAGCTTTCTGAGTGGAGCATGTAGGTTGGGGTAGTGTTCCCTTAATTTCCCGAGTGAGGAAAACTTCTCGATTGGAGACTTGGAAAATCCAAGTCACTGAGTGGGATCGGCTATATGAATCTTAGAACGCCATTGTGCTCGGTCCTGTGTCATGTCCTTCGTTAGATCCAAGTACTCTAAGTCTTTTCTTAGAGTCTCTTCCAAAGTTTTCCTAGGTCTTCCTCTACCCCTTCGGCCCTGAACCTCTGTCCCATAGTCGCATCTTCTAATCGGAGCGTCAGTAGGCCTTCGTTGCACATGTCCAAACCACCGTAACCGATTTTCTCTCATCTTGCCTTCAATTTCGGCTACTCCTACTTTACCCCGGATATCCTCATTCTTAATCTTATCCTTTCTCGTGTGCCCACACATCCAACGAAGCATCCTCATCTCCGCTACACCCATTTTGTGTATGTGTTGATGCTTCACCGCCCAACATTCTGTGCCATACAGCATCGCTGGCCTTATTGCCGTCCTATAAAATTTTCCCTTGAGCTTCAGTGGCATACGGCGGTCACACAACACGCCGGATGCACTCTTCCACTTCATCCATCCAGCTTGTATTCTATGGTTGAGATCTCCATCTAATTCTCCGTTCTTTTGCAAGATAGATCCTAGGTAACGAAAACGGTCGCTCTTTGGTATTTCTTGATCTCCGATCCTCACCATCATCAATACCCATTTTATTCTAAATTTAGCAATAGTATCCATGTTCCAAATAACTTTTTTCCAAATCCTCCTTTTCAAGTGACTGTAAAAGCTTGTATTATAATATACTATAAACACAATGCTTTCGGTTCTATAACTTCGGTCTTCATTGTTCCCTTTATCCTATAAAGGTTGTTTAACAGGCAATACTTATGGGAGAGATAAGGTAACACGAATCACTAGAAAAGGGAATCAAAATCAAAGCAAATTCGCTGAAGAGTTTACCTGGTATAGATATATCTGCAACTTCATCAAGAGCCATGCATACAGTTGTTGCAGTTCCTTCTTCGCAGAGAGCATCAAAGGCAGCAAAAAATGAGGTCACTGATTTCCTTTAGTTATACACAAAGAAAGAGATTAATCAGGAATTCATTAAAAATAATATTGCAATAACTATAACAAATCAACCGTCTTAACGCAACTGCCCTTTGAAACACCCGAAGAGTACTATCTTTAAAACATAAGAGCCAAGACCATAACTATTCATGTAAAATGGAATTATTGGATATCACCTTGTTGAGAACAGCCATACATGATTTGTTGGTAGGCGCCATTTTCTACAGAATGCAATTATCTCAGGGGTTGAGTAGAACTTTGGCTTTCCATTGCCCAAATCTGTGACTGCCGTCACTACAGCTGTTTAATAAAAAAAACCACATAAGCTTGAAAATATTTTTACGAATGTTGGGAAAAGACTTACCCATCACTTGAATCAAATAGCAAAGGTCACACTATCAATTCAGTGATGACAAGTGCAATCACTACAATCAGGGTTCCTTATTCTGGAAATTCAAGAAACTATAAACAACAAATTCTCCTAAAAAAGAAAGAAGTTTAAACTCAGACTTTGATATAATTAAAATTATATGACGCATTGGAAATTCAATTAACTCCATGCATCTGACTTTACAAAGTATTTTAACAAAATCCACAGGAAAATTATTATAATATAAATAACTCAGTAGTCAGTACCAAAATCTTCTTTCGGGCGTTGTCCATGGTCTCCTAGAACAGCAGTTACGAGTTCCATTGATATGCACATACGATTCCTCTGGAAGATTGACCAACAGAAAAATTAGGGGAAGGAGTAAGAAGAGTTGTTCAAGCATAATCACTGCTGACTAAGTTATTAAATAAATAAAATCAGAGAAGGCAGAAATCTAAATTCAGCTAAAAACCAATATTTTGATCAGAACAGTTAACCTCTCTTGGGAACAAATTTTTTTTTTTTTTTTTTGAAAAACTTTCACAATCAACATTAGATTTTGACTAAACAAGCACAGAAAGGAAGAATTTGATAGCTGTTAATGAAGATTAATTTTCTTAATGTTCAGGTTTCTCATGTGAATAGCACCTCAAGAAAATCATTAAACTCTGCTTGAACTTTTGGTGCTTCACGTCCCCATGCCTCCCGAAACATCCGTCCAAGAACAAATACGCCTACAGCCGTATATCTGTAATAGAAATAGAATATTGAGCAAACCACGAAAACATGAATGACTCCATTGATCTCTTCATTCATTGACTGAATTAAACAATTGAAATAATATGAAAAGGATGGGAAGAAATGGTTGTGTTGTGCATACATATTCCCAAAGCTGTTTTTGGCATATGCTCCACCCTTGTTACCAGCGTACATAAAAAGAGATCCCGAGTGTTTAAGTGAAACCTGCAAAAAGGTTCATTGTCAATAAATTCTTCAGATGAAGATTAATTTAGTAAAATAACATCAAAATTGAATAAACCAGAAAATGCAACTGGAGGCTCCCCAAAACTTATGAGAAGTAAGAGTGATTGCTAACATGAAAGCCAACAGACAGAATGTCTATGCAGAAAGAAAGCAATTCAATAGCTCATAAAACACCCTTACCTCCAAGGTAGCCAAGCCGTTAGATACAATCTCTATCATCCTTGTCCTAATCTGAATAAAGAAATATTAACGAGACAAGCATTCAGATAAGATCCAAGAAGAAATAGAGAATCTCATGATTACGTAAGGGCAAGTATCAATTTATTCACATCACTATTCTATAAAATATGAGCACATTTCTGTTTGTTTTCATTGGCTATATAACATAATCCAGAGAACACAAGCACATGCTATTTGTTGGAGAAAAAATCCGCATAGCGTTATTGAGGTTGGTAATTCCCCTACAGGAAACACAAATGGATGAATAAATTTAAAATTGGAAACGCATGAAGACAAAAATATACCTCCCCATCTGTCTTCTCATTTTCAAATTTGGGATAGAAAGTAGCTCGTATTTGCACTTGAGCATACGTGGAGTTGTCCACAGTAAATTTTTCCAACAGATTACCATTGAACAACTGACTTAAACCAACACTGGTTTTTTTAACTGCTGCTTGCCCAGCTCCATTTCCCTGGGTTCCAACTGAACATTTATCAACAGGTGCTTCAACTTCTGCTGCTTTAGCTCCATCCACTGTCCCATATGACTTAGGCATCCAAGTTCCTTTCTGACCTTGTACTGGACCCTGATTTGCCGATTGGACCTTCCCAAACTGTAAGGGTTTAACCGAAGCATTGGTCTGCCCATTGCCTCCACTAAGACTCAACTCACCAACTCTGTTAGTGACAGCGGCTGAAGAATCCCCTGTCGACGCTGATGAGCCATCAGTCTTTTGCTTTTGTGTCCACTTTTGTTCTCCACGCCCACCCCTTCGCTGCAAAGTAAACCAAACATCTCAATCACAAGTAAACACAATTACAGTGTTCAATGCAACTTATGAAGGCCGTGAGGCTCTTGACTATCCGAAGCAATGCCATAGCGATTTCTAAATCACAACCATAACCACATTAAGATATAGCACATGCCTACATACATCAACCATACTACTAAACAAAACTACATAACATTCATACTGGCCAACCAACCAAGTTTTCGTTGAAACTGATATCACACAGAAATAATCACAGTCCCGAAATATCAGACGGAATTACAAAGATAAATTTAACCATAATAAGCAAATGATCATTTCTAGGAAAGAAAAAAAAAAGGCAAAGCAAATGATCATCGTCCGCAACAATAATTAGAAAAATCTTCAAACAATTTCAATGGAGTGCATTGCATAACAACACGGTTCAAAATCCAAATTTAAACTAAAATTGAATTAACAAATAGCAATTAATCGATTCCCAACCAAACGTTTCGGCCTAGAAAATCACTCAGACGACGATCAACAAACCGAAACCGCCACCAACCAATTTAAAATCACATTCAACGTAAACGAGCTCCAATGAAACACAGAAAACGATCGCCAAACTATACAAAACAGAGTAAAAATGGAAAATTTAAATTAAATTAAAACAAAAATTGGTACCTGGTTGTAAGGCATGGCGGAATGGGAGAGAGAGATGGAAGAGGAGAGAGAAAGCGAGGGAGAGAGAAAGCGAGGATGGGAGGATGAAGGAAAGGAGGACCGGAGGAAGAGGAAGGCTCCGGAAACGAAGGTTGAGGAAGACGAAGACGAGAGGGGAGGAGTTATAGCGGGAGCATTGATGATTCTCTGAGACGCCCACATTCAATTGCTACTCTAGACGTGCCACCACTACGCTTCTATATTTATATGAGAGAGAGAGAGAGAGAGAGAGAGAGAATGTGGAGGAGGAGCCAAGTGGAAGAGATACAGAGGGCGGGTTCTGGAGGTTGCGGCGTGTCCATGCACAGAGATTTTGGTGTAATAATCCTTGGAAGTGGGAAGCGGCGACCGGGTTCAGGGGAGAGGTGCTCTGAGTTTTGGTTTTCCGCGATACACCATATTTACCCTATTAAATTGTCTTGTTCCACTCCTAATGCTATTGCTAACATCAAACTTTGGAACCGTCACTTATTAATACGATTTAGTAATATTTTTTCTCACCTGTAAATATGAGATTTTAGGTTCAATTATTACCGTTTAGGCGGAGATAAGAACGTTAACGTTTCTGAACAACACGAACAAACATGTCTGCAAAGATAGACGTACTTAACGGACGTCGAGTTAACATCTCCGAAGGATGTGCCGCCTTTGAAGGACGATTTCGCTGCTCCTGTTGGACAGTCCGATACATCGGCACATAGTCAATCAATCTGTCTTGGCCTGAAACACGATAGAGCACTTGGTTCGTAGTGTTCACTTCCCAACATGAGGAAGGATAAAGCACAAACAAAGCCCTACTTGATTGTTTTCTCAATCATTTCCATTTCATGAGATTAATTTGGAATACTCTCGAGACTTGAAGTTTTTGATTCAGTATACTAGTTTGGATGAGATATGGAATTTGAATAAGATTATCATCGATGATGTTTTCACTTATATGGGAGCTACAACATAAATAAAAAACGACAATAATGAATCGTGTTCCATTTATTAGTGTCAAAGTAGAACTGATTAGACAACCAAAATTACAATTTAGGTTTAGTTCCTTATCAAAGTGTGTCTGGACATGTCATTCTACACTGCCTAAGGTAACCCTATTGTGTTACAAGTGCGAAAGGAAGCGTAATGATATGAATGAAATAATGCGATATGATACACACCTTACAACGCAAGATTTCTCTCAAACACTATGTGATTGATTGCAGCATTATGAATGTTATTAGTATTTCTCCATGGGGATTTGACAGATTGACATGTAAGTCCCTGAATAATTACATGGACTGCGTTTGTCACCATCAATCATTTTTTGTCATTCTATGAAAATTATTTGTTAAATAACGATAAAATAACAAAAATACCCTCAATTTTTGTCACATCATTTTAGCCTATCATTTGTTAAATTGAGTGTATTTTTGTCATTTTGAGCTTATTTAACAATTATATTTCACAAAAAAACCAAAATGATTGATGGTAAATAAACTCAATGATTAGTTTTATCTATTTCAAATCTCAGGAACTAAAATGACAAGTTATGCCAATCTCAAAGACTATTTTGGATAAAAAAAAAACTTTTTTTTTGGACGAGAAATAAAGTCCTTTTTGTTTGCTACCACAGTAACATTGTTACGATTAACAATTTTTTAAGAAAAATAAACGAAAAGTAAAAAAAAACTTTAGTTTTAATGAAAAATGACAAATAAAAGTGTAGTGAATAGTACCATGGAAAGTTAAAAATGTGATTTTTCGTTAAAAGTGAACAATATCGGAAGTGTTCGTTAAAACTCTTTTATTTATTTATTTTTTTATCAAAAGGGCCAGTTTAAAATATAGTGACTCTATAAGAACCATGAGAAAAATTGCCTAGTTTATTTATGAAAGGAGTGTAAGTTTGTAACCGAATTTTTTTTTTTTAAATTTTAATTCACACACTTTACAATTCAGTGTGCTGCCGAGACGAGAAAACGGCATCGTTGCGCTTGTGGGGTTCTTATTTCAGCATTTCCTATCGTTTCTATGCAACCAAACAGCTTTTACTACTCACCAGCAGATCAGTGGCATAGCACTCTTGTATTTTCCTGGGCCACTCACCTATCAGGTAATTTTCTTCCCAATTCGTTTTATGAATTTTGTTGACCGTGTATTTTTCTTGCGTGACTCATTAGACATTAACAAGTTCCGTCTTGCAATATCCGAATCCATGGATTTCTCTCGTATTGATGCTTGGATTTGCATTGCCGTTATGCGCAATGTTGTTGAACTTGATCTTGAGAGTGTCTTCAAATATTATTTCCTACTATCCTCCTACATCAGGGTGTTTCCCTGGTCTCCAGTTCCTTCACATTAGTGCTGATAATCCTTTTGAGGAGTAAATAGAAAAGCTCTTCTCTTGTTGCCCTGTACATGAATATTTGAGCATACATCTATCTGTTGGCACCGGTTTCGTCCACAAGATTAATATCTCTGCACCTCAACTGAATGTTGAATTAGTGGCCAAGTGGCCAACTCAGCATCACCTTTCAACTATTGAATAAGAAATGATATGGTCTAATTATGTGGCCAACTTTCGGCTAATATACAAACCAATATTTAAAATGGAAGACAACATCATTATGTTTGTTGAGAAAAAGGTAAAGGCTAGCAAGTAGCCTTATTATTGGTTTTGTTTTTTGGGTGCTTTCGGATTGATGAAGCCGTGCAGCCAAATGAGAAAGAGAGTAAGAGAACACCATTTTGTTTTAGCAACCCATCTTTGAGAGAGCAGCAGAGCAGCAGAAACGAAGAAGACTGCCTCAGCTCTCATTGAAAGAGAGCTCATTTCTTTGGTTAGTAATCATTCACCGAGGTAGTTGTTGTTGTAGTAGCTTTGAGCTTTGTATAGAGAGGAAATTATCCATTATATTTCTCTCTATTTGTTGCTTTGGTGTGAAAGAGATATTTGGTGTATTGGGCCTTTGGGTTGTGAGCTTTCCAACACTTTGTCAACTTCCATTTGATTGATAGTTGATTATTGGGTGAGCTCCTACTGCTCCGAGGACGTACTCCATCTAAACTAATTGTTGAGGAATCTCGTTAAAATCTTGATGTCTTTAATATTTTGTTCTTGCATTTCATTTTGATATATTTCATGTGGGTTATAAAGAGTTGGTTCCAGAAGGTTTGGTGTTATCCTAGCACAACACTGAAAACATTGCAAATATCTTTGAATGAAGACAATGAGAACAAGAACTACTTTTATATTAATGCCCCACAGCTTGATAATCTCAATCTCAAGGGGCGTGATTTGTCAAATTAATTTTTGGAGAATGCAAAATCCGGAATCAATGCCAGTATTGCTTTCAAATACCTTTCCAGAAATTATTTGTTCTCATTTCCCGAGCGTGCTCTGGCTGGAATTTCCAGAGTCAAGTATCTCTCTCTTTCGGCATATTCTTTGGAGGCAAGTACACTGACTCTTGCTTTTACATTATCTTCATGAGTGTAAGTACTGGGAATTGCTAGCAGAGTTGCTCCTCAGAGCACCGAATCTGGAAGATCTTGCCTTGGAAGATGTAAGTAAAATCGGTATTCACTTATTCTATGCTCAACCAACGTGCAGCAGCTCACAAAGTGAATATTCAGAGGTATGGGAGTCGCCAAAGTTTCTGCCTAATTGTTTATCTTCGCATCTCAAGACTATCTCCATTACGGGATTCAAGGGAAGGCCGATTGAGAGGGAAGCGGCTAAGTACTTGTTGAGGAATGGTCATCTTTTAAATAAGATGACAATTTACACACATAGACGCCTTTTCTGCAAGAAAGAGGAATTATTGAAGGAGTTTTTGAAGTTTCATAGGGCAATGACTTGTCAAGTTGAGTTTATTGAGATGAAAGTTTAGGTCACTACAAGGATTTGAGTTCAATGCGTGTTTTGATGTGGAGTTTGTAAAAAACATATCGGCAGTGGCAGGCAACGTATTTCCAAATCTGTTTGTGTTGGATTTAAGGATCGAATCTCTTTAGATTCGTTTACTCTAGTGAGATTTGATTGATATGCCTTCTGCAGACATGGACACTGCTGTACAACCCGCATTTTTGTCTATTTCAATTAATAGAACCGTCCAATTTTTATGTTTTCTCTCAAAGATCATTCTTGCAAAAGACCTCAAAATCATAACTATTTACGCATGTAATGAATGGTTGTTGTTTTAGTGTTGGTAGAACAACTGATTGTGGTATTTTTCTTTACTTGTAAGTGAGAGGTTTTAGATTCAAATTTTGACGATGAGGAGTTCACTACCAATAACGTTCCTTGCAGGTTCGGTAAGATGCGATTGAATGCACAAGCATAGCTTTGTTCTACCAATTTTATGTGAAATAAAAAACCAAGGAGGGTCACGGATGCTCAGCACTTGACACTATTGTGTGGTAGGTGTAAAAATATAGCTCAAATTTTCCGAAAATAAAAAATAAAGATCATGGGGCAAATTGTCAATGAATAAAAGTCCAAGGGGCCAATCGGCAGATTCCTCAAAGTAAAAGGGTCCATAACGTTCCCTATTATTACCATAGTTTCTTAGCGACCAAGGACAATTTTACTGTGCAGCAAAAAATAATCCGAAAATTTTTAGAACTGATACAAAGAATTTTACCCATGAGTGCTGAGAATGCTCTTATTAAAGTGGTTAGGTCCACATTTGTTCCACGCACAATTTAACCTTCAAGAAAATATGAGCTATTGACTACGACTTCTCCAAATTTCGCTGCCCATGTGAAAGAGAACAGACAAGGAAATTAAATATATGATTAATAACTCATCCCTATCTTCAAGCTTTCCTAGTGAAGAACAACTTAATCAAGTAAGGAATCAAAATCAAATCCAATCAAGGATTCTATGAGATAATTTCGCGATATTACTAATTAAATAGGGGTGTGCTATCCACACATCCCATTTTGTTTCTCACACACCCCTTGATAATTTATGTCTGTTGATTTTATTCAATTCATCCGATCCGACGGCCAAAAATTAAAAAGGTGTGTGAGAAGTAAAATGGGGTGTGTGGATATCACACCCCATTAAATAACCCATTCTACACCAAACTGGATGCCGACACATCCCTCAGGACCCTCATCGCATTGCCGGCCTTATGCTCTATAAATAACCCATTCTACACAAACTCTAGTAAGCTTTTGCTACCCAATTAATTCATAAACTGAAACTGATTTATCCATCAGAGCTCCATTAGGTACAAATTCGTCTTAACAATTTCGTTAAAACTGAAGACAAGGATGGCGAATTTTTGCTATCACATTTAGCACTCAGAGTAACACTTTTATTTTTCTTAGCCACTTATCCGGTAATTGTCTTCCCAACTTTCTTTGGT